GTTCTTGAGATCGTCATCAATGGAGTTACACCATTAGGGGAAGAGGCTACCGATATTCAAAGAGCTACACACAAAGAAAAGAAGAAGAAGGATTACAAAGGCCTATTCTTGATTCATTCGTGTGTCGATAACGACAATTTCAAGAAGGTCGACGATTGTGAATCAGCGAAGCAAGCATGGGAAATCTTGGAGAAAGCATATGCTAGTGCCGTCAAAGTGAAGGTTGTAAGGTTACAAACTTACAAGCGACAATTCAAATTAACACAAATGGAAGACAAAGAAACGATCAACGATTACATTACGCGCATTACCTGGTTAGTTAATCAAATCAAATCATGTAGGGAAAGGATTCTTGAGCATAATGTTGTATCGAAAGTGTTGCATTTGTTAACGTCGCGTTTCGATAGTTGTGGCTATTGAATAGTCGAAGGATCTAACAACTTTGGGCAAGGATGAACAAAGGGTGGAAGGATAAGAGGTCGAAAGGAAAATTTGTAGCTAAAGGTAAGTCAAATTTTCAGAATTTTGGTTCAAACGATTCACAAAATTCAAAGCATTCGACGAGTGAAAAGGGTGAAAGTAGCTCTAAAGATAGTGGTCATAGCAATAGTTTTAAGAAGCGTGATATGAGTAAGGAGCAATGCTATAAGTGTAGAAAGCTTGGACATTTTGCAACTTCATGTCGTAGTAAATCGAATGAAAATCACAATAATGAAGTCAAGGTTGCGAGGGAAGAGGTAGATAATGAGAACACCCTTCTATTAATGATCACGGAGGAGAGTTATGACATTATAAATCTTCCGGGCAGCACCTATGGTAGTGACAGTTTGCGGGACAGCAGCTGTACCGTTCCGGAAAATAGTGAGAAAACGCATTCGGATCGAAATGCATTGGTTACCGTTCATGATGGAGTCCAAGGTAGAGATGAGTGGTACTTGGATTCCGGTTGTTCAACACATATGACGGGTCGAAAAGATTGGTTTGTTCAAATCAATCAAGCGTCAAAAAGTAAAGTCAAATTTGCCGACAACACCACTTTAAGCGCCGAAGGGGTAGGAGATGTTTTGATCGGAAAAAGGAATGACGGACATTCAAGGATCAAAGATGTCTTGTATATATCGGGAATTAAGTGCAATTTTTTAAGCATTGGCCAATTACTTGAAAGAGGATACAAAATTCGCTTGGAGGACAAGATTTTACGCGTTTTGGACTCTAATGGCTTGTTGATTCTAAAAGCATTGATGGATGCCAATAGAACCTTTAAGGTTGAGTTAAAGGTTATGGAGCATCGTTGTCTAGCTACCGCGGCAAGTAGATATGAGTGGTTATGGCATTACCATCTTGGTCACCTTAACTTTAGGGATCTAAAAATGTTGCAACAAAGTGAAATGGTAACGGAGCTACCACACATTAGTATTCCAACCGAATTGTGTGAGAAATGTGTGAAGACTAAATAACACAAGAATGTGTTTAGCAAAGATGTTGGTCGAAGAACCAAAGGCTTACTTGAGGTGGTATGTTTCGACGTTTGCAGACCGATGCAAGTAGAGACTTATGGTGGTAATCAATATTTTGTCACGTTCATTGACGATTTTTGTAAGAAGCTTTGGACATACCTTATCAAGAGAAAAGATGATGTATTTGAAGTTTTCAAGAATTTCAAATCCATGGTGGAGCATCGAAGCGGTCGAAAGCTCAAAATTCTCAGAACGGATGGTGGAGGTGAGTATACCTCTAGTGAGTTTGGGAAGTTTTGTGATCTTGAGGGAATTGTACGTGAGATGGTGCCTCCATATACACCTCAACAAAACGGGGTTGCCGAGAGAAAAAATCGTACAATAATGAACATGGTGCGTAGTATGTTATGTGGGAAAATTTTGCCTAAGGAATTGTGGGGTGAGGCCGTGTCTACAGCCACTTACTTGTTGAATAGGTGTCCCACTAAGAAACTGGAGAAGCTCACACTAGAAGAGGCTTGGAGTGGCCTCAAATCGAATTTGAATCATTTACGCGTATTTGGATTGATTGCATATCGTCATGTACCAAACCAACTTAAGAAGAAATTGGATGATAAGGGTGAGAATATGATATTTGTAGGATATCACTCTACTGGAGGGTACAAGTTATTTGATGCAAGAAATCGGAAGATCGTCATAACCCGGGATGTGACTTTTAATGAAGTCAAAAGTGTAGAATATGCTGCAGTAACCGGTTACACCAATGTGAGTAATCGGTTACCGACAGAAAATCAGCAGCAGCAGTTTTTTGAAATTTCTTAACCGGAAGCTTCTGACACTGTTGTACCAGCACCTACAGTAGCGCAAAATGATGTTGTTAATAATGGTAGACCAGTGAGGCAAAGATCCTTGCCTCATAGACTCCGAGATTACGAGAGATTCCAAGATAACAAAGTGAGTAACGATGGTGACTTTGTTCATTTCGCGCTTATGGTCGTATCTGAACCGATAAATGAGGAAGAAGCCTTAAGCGATCCTAAGTGGATATGTGCAACGAAAGAGGAGCTGGAATTTATTGAGAAAAACGGTACTTGTGAGTTGGTCGATTTACCTCTTGGAAAGAAACCAATAGATTTGCGATGGGTTTATAAGATTAAAGCAAATCCCAAAGGTGAGGTAATCAAGCACAAAGCTCGATTAGCGACGAAGGGGTTCTTGCAACGAGAGGGTATAGACTATGAGGAAGTATTCACACCGGTGGCTAGATTAGAGATTATTCATTTGGTTGTTGGTATTGCGCATAGCAACAATTGGATGGTTTACCAAATGGATGTAAAATCTGCGTTTTTTAATGGTCTTCTTGTTGAGGAAGTCTATGTGGGGAAGCCACCCGATTTCGTGATCAAAAATCAAGAAATGAAGTATTACAAGCTACACAAGGCATTGTACGGTTTGAAACAAGCTCCAAGAGCTTGGAACAAACGTATTAACGACTTTCTTATTGACATTGGTTTCAAACGATGTGTATCCGAACATGGAGTTTATGTGAGATCGGTTACAAATGATGGTGTTATTATACTTTGCTTGTATGTTGATGATCTCTTAATTACGGGCAACCATGACAAGAGTACTTCAAGGTTCAAAAGTGAGCTCATGAGCGAGTTTGAAATGACGGACCTTGGTGTCATAAATTACTTCCTTGGCGTCGAGTTTCACAAGTCAAAAGTGGGGTTGCTCATGCACCAAAGGAGGTATGCTCTAGATATTTTGAAAAAGTATGATATGGAGCATTGCAATGCTTCTATTACACCTTGTGAGGCTAGAGTGAAGTTGTCTAAAAGTGATGAGGAGGATGATGTCGACCCAACGCTTGACCGGAGCTTGATTGGATCGTTACGATTTTTGTGCAATACTCTACCGGATTTGGTTTTTAGTGTCGGTATTGCGAGTAGATTCATGGAGAGACCTAAGGTGTCTCACTTGGCGGCGGTCAAGAGGATCCTTAGATATGTGAAAGGTACTCTTGGTTGCGTAATTCTCTTTCCTGCATCAGACACGGGGCATAAGTGCCTTTTACTTGGCTACATCAATTCTAATTGGTGCGGAGATAAAGATGACCGAAAATTGACGGCGGGGTACATCTTTATGTTTGGTAGTACACCAATCTCATGGTGTTCGAAAAAGGAATTGGTTGTAGCACTCTCTTCTTGTAAGGCCGAGTACATTGCGGCGTCGTTAAGTGTGTGCCAAGTTGTGTGACTTATAAATCTATTGAAGGAATTGGGATATGGTGATGATGATGCCACCATACTGTTTGTAGATAATGTTTCCGCAATAAATCATGCCAAGAATCCGATTGCACACGGAAGGAGCAAGCATATTGATATGCAGTTTCATTATTTGAGAGAATTGGTCGGTGATGGGAAGCTTGGATTGAGCTATTGCCGAAGCGAAGACTAAGTCGCGGATTTGTTGACAAAGGGTGTGGCAAATGATGTCTTCAAGAGGTTGAAGAAGTGCTTGAGCATGGTGGACTTGGAGCAACTAAAGTGAGGTGGTGTGTTGATACTGTTAAATTTCTGTTATTGCTATTTTTCTACTGATTACCGTTGTTAGTTTTTCAGCAAATAACAAAATTTAACAGCAGTGCCACTTTAGTTGTATTTTTAGATTTTATTTGTCATTCTCTCAATGTATAAATACTCTTTGTATACTCCAATTCCATATTAATGTCAAAATTCATATTCATCTAATACTGTTATTCTTTTCTCTTAAATTCTCTTTCTCTCTCAATTTTATCTTCTTCCCAATTTCTATCTTCCACCATTTTTAAAACCTTCTATCTGTTTTTTTTGTGTTCTAACAATTTTAAACTCTATAAATTGTGCTCATAAATTGCATTATTATATTAAATATAAAATATATATAGTTGTGTCTTATGTTTTTTAAATTACCGGAATCCTTATATTTGTGTCTGAATCGTATTTCGTATCCGAGTACAGACTTCATAGCCAAACATATATGTGTTCTGATAGAGAATTTTAGTATAACTAATATTGTTAGTACAATTGATATAGTGATTAACTTGTTAAGTAGAAAGAAAGAATTTTGACTGGTGAAAAATCTTTGATATCTCATTACCTTCAGGACACGTATAGGTTTACCATGAAATTAAATGTGCATAAGAAGAATTTCACAAGCTTTTATGCAAAGCTTAATGAAATAATTAATCTGGCTCAAGTGCTATGATCCATTTTTATGTTTTGCCAAAGACTTGCTTAAATCCTTATTTCATAAGTTAAAATAAGCTCAACAAATTCAAAAGTACTATTTTCTTAAATATTTGTAATATATACATCTCACATGTGTACTACTTCTAACTAGTTTTGGCAAAGAGAAGTAGCAAGCTTGAGGCAACAATTGCAGCACTTGAATGATAGCCAAAGGTAAAATATTAAACACCTAATAGTTATTTTCCTCAGATATATATTTTTTTTTTTGCACTAAAGAAAGAATTCCACACTTTCTTAATGCAGGCAATTGATGGGCCAAGAACTATCTGTTTTGGATTTCACTGAGCTGCAGCATCTCGAGAGTCAATTGGAGATGAGTTTGAAAAGCATTCGCAAGAGAAAGGTATTTTTTGGAATTCAAGTGTGAGTGTTTAATCTGACGTCGATTAGTAATGAACTAAATGAAGTCATTTATTTACCTGCAGGGTCAAATTTTCAGTGATGAGATCAATAGCTTACACAAAAAGGTTTCAGGAATCAGGCTTAGTTTGTTCCTTTTGACACGATTCAAAGATTTTCCACAAAACATTTATGAGTTTCCACTGATGTCATTGTAGGGAAGCCTTAGTAGTACAGAAAATGAAGAACTTCATAAGAAGATAAACCGAATTGGTGAAGAAAACGCAGAACTAGAGAAGGTAAACAACATATATCAAGAAAGACTAGACATTGTATAATTTAAGAATATGTTATTGATGATAGTTTAAGAATTGGTTACTAGGTTATTGGAACAAGGCGCAGAGAATATGCAATATCCAATGCTTCACAGAACAATATCAGTATCAGCTATGGATACGATATACATGATGAACAAATCAGTCTCCAGCTAAGGCAGCCACAACCACAACAGTGAACCAAATCTCTGGTATTATCGCAGCTGCATTATTGCTATAAGCTTTCGACAACCTATTTCAATAATCATACATATCTCGCAGTGGAAACTTGTGCTTCAAGGACCCTAGCTGTTTCATTCAACTATCAAACATAATGAGTATTTGTGTATTATAAATTGTGTACTAGACTAGGTTTCTTTTCAGTCCTTGTTATTTTAGATAAAACTGTTTATACTTGTTTATATCACCTTTATCATTAAATACTATATTGTTTCTACTCAACTATAAATAACGATAAACCAAAAGTCAAGAGAAGGTCCAAAAAATTTCCCAAGTTATCGCCATATCTAAAAAATATAAAGATTAAGATTAAAGACTCATCAATATTAAATCTTGAGTAGATTTACATAAAATGATATGATCTGTTTAATGCATGAATATATGATTACATCTAACCCCTAACAAAAATAGTTTTAACTACACTTGATCATCGTAGATGTTCTGGTAGATATTTTTAATTACATCTAATCGCTTTCAATATTCCTCTCTTATTCCTCTATTATAGACTAAGGTAAACCTACTCTAATTTTGTAATACCTCACTCCACTCAAACTCTCTTTGCAATAAACTAGAGACCCCTATATATAGTTGTGGATTCAGAGGCCTTGTTAGACGCATTGCCCATTCTCTCTTAGCGATCATGTTATCTTCTAGGTTAAGCAGTTTTAGTTGTCTAACATGTGACCCTAGTCGTCTTGCTTCGTTAGGCGCATCGCTCTTTTGCTTAGTGAGCAAACTCTTACTTCACCATGAAATAAATGTTATGGAAAAACAAAACAAATAAGCATAGAGAAAAAGAGGAACACAATAAGAACACATGAACATATGGAAACTCCAAAATCGGAAAAAAAACCCACAGTCGTTGTCAATAGACAACTAGAGAATAACACTATCGCAATACTCTAATACAATAGTATACGAGAACAAATAAAGTCAAATACAAGCTTAAAGTACTTTTAGCTAGTGGATCTTGAAATGAAGAACTTGAATCCTATATATAGCCTTGAACTCCCTCTTCCTCCAAAAAAAACTAAGCGATGTGGGACTTCAAAGAACTTGTATCTTATATATAGCCTTGGACATTCTCTTCATTCACAAAATTAAGCGATGCAGGACATCTTCGACGTGTATATTTTCAACAAACCCCAACAATCTCCACCTTGATTGAAAATAATACATAAACTTTCATTGTTTTCACCAACAATCATACTCCACCAATAATAGTCACTTGAAGATACAACACTCCAAGAATTTTCACATTGTCTTCTCCGACACTCATATTTTAAAAAAAAAAACTATAATACTCCACCTAAAGAAGAGTATACTTCACTTGAAGTTAGGTCACTTCAAGAATTTTCACATTGTCTTCACCGACAATCATAGTTATAAAAAAATATCATACTCTCTCATAAATAATATATTTCACTTGAAGATAAACCACTTCAAAAATTTCATATTGTCATCATCGACAATCGTATACTTTATCATGAAGAATAAATTTCACTTGAAGGTAAATGGCTCCAAGAACTTTCACATAGTTTTCACCGAGAATCATATTTTTAAAAAACTATCATACTCCACCTAAATTAAAGTATACTTCAGTTGAAGTTAAACCACTTCAAGAATTTTTACATGTCAAAAATCAGGTTAATTTTTTATGGTGCAACTTCCATGTTAGTCAGAAGCTCTTCAACCATCGACATAATCTTTCCCTTTATGTAATCTTGATTGTATCAACACATCTTTGACTTGAACTTTCCACAAGTCAAAAAAAATCTTCCATCAATTTTCTCTAGTCCAAACTGCACATCGTGGTTTATGACTGCAGCCCAACAACTCTTTCACAACACTACCCTTCTTTTTTTATGTGAAAGACCAGACAAAACTGCAACCATAGAACATACTAAGAACACTTATCTCTGAGTCGAACCAAAAGTTTTGATGCCAGTTGTTGGGAAAAAACAAAATAAATAAGCATAAAAAAAAAAAGAGGAATACAATAAAAATATAATAACATAACATGGAAACTCCAAAATCAGAAGAAAAAAAATCACGGTCATTGTCAATAGACAACTAGAAAATAACACTATATGAAAATTATTACAACACATAATATACTCTTAACTAACTCAGACCCCTAGTACACTTACACTCTCTAAAACAAATATTTAACTATATCTCACAACATTATAATACAAGAGTATAAGAGAATAAAGAAAGTCAAATACAAGCTTAAAGTTCTTTTGACTGATGCATCTTGGAATGAAGAACTTGAATCTTATATATAGCCTTAAACTCCCTATTCCTTCAGAAAACTAAGAGATGTCGGACTTCAAACAACTTGTATCCTATATATAGTTTTGGACATTTTCTTCATTCACAAAACTAAGTGATGTGGGACATCTTCAACATGTATATTTTCAACCACTATGCCAAAAAAGACCTTTAGCAGCGCTTTAAAGCGCTGCCAAAAGTGGCGCTGCTAAAGGTAAAGGCAGCGCTTTTTTTCAATGAGAAAGCGCTGCTAAAGGCTCCCTTCAGCAGCACCTTTAGCAGCGCTTTTATAAGCGCTGCATAATTCCCCCAACCATCCCCCCCTTTAGCAGCGCTTTCACAAAGCGCTGTCTTAGAGCCCACCTTTAGCAGCGCTTTTACAAAGCGCTGTCATAGCCCCCCCCCCTTTAGCAGTGCTTTTTACAAGCGCTGTCTTAGACCCCCCCCCCCCCCCTTCCAAACCTATAGCAGCGCTTTTGTAGCGTAATGTTTGTGACCTTTAGCAGCGCTTTTTTGTAAAAGCGTTGTCTAATGTCCCAGATTTTAAATTTTTTTTTTTAAAATATTCACCCTGTTTTTTATATTTACCAACAACCTGCTTATATTACACAAACCTGCTTATAATTCAGACCTTTATTTCAACACTTTGGCCTTATATATACAATTCAAAACTTTGGCCTTAAATATACAATTCAAAATTTTGGCCTTATATATACAATTCAAAACTTTGGATACATTGTAACTCATCACTTTGTTCATAAACATTTTAATATACACATAAACCTGTTTAAATATGTTACAACAAAATTCGATCCTCAGAATTACAACAACACAAATACATTCAATTTACATATAATTACAATTCTTCCAATCCGATAACTCTATACAATTCTCAACCCAAGAATAAATTGACACCATTCCTCTTTAATTTCTTCCAATTTTGCTTTCGTGTAAGTAGCGCACTTGAATTCATCAAAATACTACATAATATAACAGATCGAATAAGATTTAATTTTAAAACTAATTACTCATATGACGTATCGGATAATTATCAAAATGAATCATATAACTTATATAATGAATTGATCCATACAATGACTGGAATCTCAAGTTGACCAGAAAGAATAATTTCCCTCATAAAGACATACCATGACTGGAATCTACGATGACCAAAAAAGACATTCTTCTGACCAAATTCCAACCGCGTCCAATATGTGTTTTCTTCACAGATAGGACACGCACATTGACCTTTAATGCTATACCCCGATAGATTTCCGTATGCTGGGAAATCATTAATTGTGCCAAACAACATCGCCCTCAAATTGAAACTTTCTTTCCTATATCCATCATAAACCTCCACACCGTTCTCCCACAAACTCTTTAAGTCTTTGATTAGAGGTGTCAGGTATACGTCTATGTCATTCCCTGGTTGTTTAAGGCCAAAAATTAACATAGATAACATCATGTACTTACGCTTCATACATAGCCATGGAGGTAGGTTATAAATCATAATAATTACAGGCCAGGTGGAATGTGAGATACTCTGCAGACCATGTGGATTCATTCCATCAGTCGATAATGCCAAGCGAAGGTTTCTAGCTTCTTCTCCAAAATCAGGATAATCATTATCAATTTTCATCCACTGTGGTGAATATGCCGGATGTCGATACTTCTCATCTACAATTCTATCATCTGCATGCCAAGTCAGGTGTTTCGCATCTGTTTCACTACGAAACATGCGTCTGAATCTCGGAATTATAGGAAAATACTATAATACTTTTGCTGGTGACAATTTTTTCTTATATCGAGATACACCGCATTTAGGACACTCGTTTAATGATGCATATTCATTTCGAAACAAAATGCAATCATTTGGACAAGCATGTATCTTATCATAGCTCATGCCAATAGAGCATAATATTTTTTTAGCTTCATAGGTTCGATTGGGAAGAACATTATCCTCCGGAAGCATCTCTTGAAGTAGGGCTAACAACTCTGTGAAACTTTTATCCGACCATCCATTACCCGCCTTTAAATTGTACAACTTTAATACCGCGGACAATCTTGTGAAAGTAGTGCAACCTTTATACAACGATTTCTTTGCATCGCTTACCAACCTCTCAAACATCTTGGGACAATCTTGAAGATCTTTTTCAAGTGCTTCTGCAATCTCTTCGACTCGATCACAATCATATGTATCTCTGCCATTGTCCTTTGAAGCACATGTCGTATTATTCCGGAGTTCAACATTCTCGTTACTTATCTCACCATGTAATGTCCAACATGTGTAACTTCGATCAATTCCATGTCTCATTAAATGAGATTCCAACTGAACGGCGTCAACTCGGCGCCCATAACAGCATCCTAAGCAAGGACATGTGATCCTACTGGGGTCTTTGGCGTGTTCAACAGCAAACTTAACGAACTTCGATACCCCATTCTCGTACTCTTTTAACAATCGGTTACCAGACATCCATTTTTTATCCATACTAATTGAGTAATCTACACTAAACTATAAAAGTTAAACAAAACAGAGAATACCTGTAAGGAAATCACTAACTTCTAAGAATGCTATGCAATAGGATGCTTAGAAACGATCACAGCTTTGCTCTTCACAGGTAACCCCTATAGCAGACAAAATATAAATTTTATTAAAATCATATTAATAATTAACCAAGACAAATCA